TATCATGTTATTAAACTCTGTTAACAAAGGGGATCTCTGAATTATATACTATGATAATTTTCAATGTTTACAGAGATTAATTTTTGTAAAATTTATCCAATATTTGAGTGTCACTTATTTAGAAAATAAAACTCCCTCACCCCTATACATATTAAAAGTCTGTGCTCGCTTCGGCAGCACATATACTAAAATTGGAACGATACAGAGAAGATTAGCATGGCCCCTGCGCAAGGATGACACGCAAATTCGTGAAGCGTTCCATATTTTTAAAAAAAAAAATTATAAAAAAAAGTCTATTATAAGCTGAGTGGACTTTTATTAGCAGCATGGGGTTGGGTCATCAGACCATTTTGGATTGGAATAGCACATTTCTTCTGTCAAGTTTTTATACTAGGAGCTACAGAATGAACAGCTGAAGAATTTAAAGAGAAGGTAATACAAATCTTCTAGGTTCCAGAAGCAAGCAAATCAATGATTTATCTGCATTTCCAGGTTCTGGGACAAAGGGGATTTGGGTTCTGACATTAAAGTAATCATGTCAGTGCATTATCGGTATTATAATAAAATTTCATCCTTTTCCCCAAACTGGCACATTCAAATTCAACAAAAAGACAACTTGGAGTTAGACAACTGTCAGATTACAGGGTTCCTCTGCAATGTCCTTACCTGTATTCTTTTTTTTTTTTTTTGAGACAGAGTCTCACTTTTGTTGCCCAGGCTAGAGTGACTGCCATGGCATCAGCCTAGCTCACAGCAACCTCAAACTCCTGGGCTCAAGCGATCCTCCTGCCTCAGCCTCCCAAGTAGCTGGGACTACAGGCATGCGCCACCATGCCTGGCTAAATTTTTGTATATATACTTTTAGTTGGTCAATTAATTTCTTTCTATTTTTAGTAGAGACAAGGTCTCGCTCAGGCTGGTTTTGAACTCCTGACCTCGAGCAATCCGCCCGCCTCGGCCTCCCAGAGTGCTAGGATTATAGGCGTGCGCCACCGCGCCCAGCCCTTACCTGTATTCTTACTGCATCTGTAATGTCATGGCACTCATGCAGAAAATCACTTACACAAAAATTACTGAACAAGAGAATAAATGAGTGAATCTTTCTTTTTGTCTGACATTGAACACGTGATCACTCTTTTCTTAAAAATCTATGAAATGAGGATGTTTTTGATGCTTTTTAAAAGCAGTGGAGACTATATATATATATATATGTATTTTTTTTTTTAGACAGAGTCTTACTGTGTTGCCCAGTCCAGAGTGCTGTGGCGTCAGCTTAGCTCACAACAACCTCAAACTCCTGAGCTGAAGGAATCCTTCTGCCTCAGCCTCCTGAGTAGCTGGGACTACAGGCATGCCTCACTATGCCTGGCTAATTTTTTCTCTATATATTTTTAGTTGGACAATTAATTTCTTTCTATTTTTTAGTAAAGACAGGGTCTCGCTCTTGCTCAGCCTGGTTTCAAACTCCTGACCTTGAGCGATCCGCCCACCTCATCCTCCTAGAGTGCTAGGATTATAGGCATGAGGCACTGCACCAGCCAGAGACTGCATTTTTGATGATAATGTGTCATGCTCTTTTTAACATAAGACGGAATAGCACTGCTTCAGATATTAAGCTATCACTTTACTTAGCAAAATTATTCCTGGGTTTGAAAAAGCTTCCCAAACCTAGAAAATTTTCTTTTATACATGTCTCTATATGAATAAGTCAAAATGTATAGACATTTTTAGTTCTCTATGATATTTTGTATAAGTTATTTCATTTTATGTGATGAATCTAATTGTTTAAAACAACACAACAGAACAAGTGCTTCCACTGGGCTGGCTGGTTATCAAAAACAAGTTCTATTGGAGCCAAAGTAATACAGTAAGTAATACAGAAGTGGCAAGAAAATGAAAGCAGAAGAGACAAGGAAAAAGGGGAAAGCTGGCAAAGAAAGAACATACCAGTATGTTATAGCACAAACACAGCATTAGAGTTACACGCAGCAAGGGACCCTGTAAGGGGCAGAGACACTGACGGGGGGAAATGATAGAGAGATTTGGGAAAGAGAACAGAAGGACTAACTGGGACAGTATAGTAATGTGGAGGTGTGGAGGCCAGCAGACTACTTGCTTTAGTGATTCCTGAGTGCATGAAAAATGGTAGTTGTAAGTATGTAGTTACTAAGAAATTATGGTCTTAGTTCTTATCCTCTGTTCACAAAAGGAAGGGAGTATAAAAATTATTTCAAGGCCGGGCGCTGTGGCTCACGCCTGTAATCCTAGCTCTTGGGAGGCCGAGGCGGGCGGATTGCTCAAGGTCAGGAGTTCAAAACCAGCCTGAGCAAGAGCGAGACCCCGTCTCTACTATAAA